GGGGCTTACATCCGAGAGGGCTTATAACCGGAATAAGTATATCGTTTCGAAACGAGTTATAGTTGCACATATTGATTGAAATAGGTTTTTCATTTACCGTGTAACTACAGCTTTAAAACATCAAAAATTCACAATAAAACGAATTCAAAACAAGGAAAGCTAGAGGGGGACTTATAACCGGGGGGCTTATGAGCAGATGTATTTTTTTGTTCACAAGAAGATGGACCTATAACCGGAGGGCTTATAAGCGGTAGTTTACGATAATTCATTCGGTCTTCGGCCTCAGCAACTATCACTTCATGGAAATCTCGAGCTCATAATCTAATTGTTAAGTAGGGATAAAAAAAGGCAAATGGTAGAGCAAACGTACACGTTTTAAGGACGTAGACAACAGCAACGGGAAACGTATAACTTAATCATGGAGTGTTTTATTCTCCACAATTCACTTTTCAAGCTTCATACCAGGAAAAAAGCTCTTAATTGGTGAATAGCGATTTGCAAAGTCATTATTAGTAAAAGTAATTGGACCGTGTGGAGTATAATTTAGGGAGTAATCGCTACGTAATACTATTACAGAAGTTGCAGTTACAGGCTGATATAGTTCTTTACCACTCAACAGTGGATAATAACATCGTTTGGCCTTTATTTAAATGATTTGGAGAGCTTTCTTTCCTTACTAAACTGTTAAGTTGTTTCGGCACTTGCACTGCAATTAACAACTTTGTCTCCGAGTTTTGGCATGAAAAAACCTTGCTTTTTTCATTTATAATTAACATACGCTTTGTTAGCTTGTTTTCCTCCACCCTTATCCTACGATAGAGTAAATTATTTCGTGGGAACGGAGCGCGGGTACGCACAAAAGGTTTGTTTGGTCTGAACCAAGGCAACAAGACAAGAAACTGACTGTAAATGAAACAAAACCCATTTTGGGCAAATGCTCTTAAACGTAATTTCTCTGTTTCTTCGGCCGAGACCCGCTCAGAGATGGAAGCGAGGGAAGTTAAAAAGGGTTAAGGGCCGACCTCAACCTGAAGAAACAGTGTGTCATCCAGAATATAGCGCCTTGAATGAAGTTTCTCGTGAGTTATGAATTCAGGAAATCCCCGCCCTTTGTTCTCTCCTCCTATAGGTCTGTCATAGTTACTTTTTAGTGAATTGCCTGTTAACTTCCTGATAACGTTCTGCCGTTCGACTGGATCTTCTTGTTGATCGATCAATGTAAACTTCACTTCCTTTTTGAAAGGCCAGGTTAATATGGTGTCATATTCACCTTTCATGACAATGATGAACACTGATAGGTGAGTATTCTTTCCGCGCCCATCACCATTGGGAACAATTGACAGTCTTAGCTTGTAGCCATACCTTTCTGTGTAGAATGGAGTAGAAGCTAGTCGGTGTCTACCAGCAGTTGCTTGTCGCAAATTTTCGATAAAATTGTCAACCTTCCAAAGAAACGCCCTTGGGAATTCCAACGATTCATTTCTTGCCATCACTATTTCCTCATTGATATTTCTTTCTTCAAACCGTCTCTGGAGGTTGTCGAGTTTCTCCATCAGTCGTGTTGTCGTCTCTTGCGTGTCATTTAGCTTAGCCTGTGTTGTATTTAATTTTACTTCTGTATCATTTAACTTAACACAGGCTAAGTCAAGATGGAGTTTCATAGCAGACTGAACATGGAATTCCACTTGCCTTCGTTGAACCTATAAGGAAAGCTGAACATTCGTTTCTGAACAATCTTACAAAATAAGCCAAGGAGTGCAGAGATTACAAGCTAGCAATGAATATTTCATACCAAGAGACCTTCGCGATAATCTCTTGTTCATACCCATACCATGCACATGAAAGAATTTCATTTCTCTAGTTACAAACGAGCTTAAACAAATCTATCCATACAATAATGTGATCAGTTAAATTCAAAAGATAATATATCGCCCTTTTCGCTTTCTAATCCCAGTCTGTTAGTCTGTTAATGATTAGTCTTCTTTGCTGCCGCTCACGCCGGACTCAGAGGGAGTCACACAACGCTCCCCGTGGAGCGTTGTGTGAGTCTTCTGCGCTGCCGTCCAGTTCTTTCGCAATTCTATCTGCGCGTTTAACGATCGAATAAAACTACGCGATGGGAACAGTTTATTATATACTGATAAATGGGAAAATAGCAGTATACATAGCAGCTGCGAAGTGACCTGTTCTCATTGAGTACACGCCTTTGTTTCACATCCCATCTTTTCATAAGGGCAGGAGATTATGGTCAATGGACAATCGTGGTCAGTGTGATTTAGAGTCTGAAAAAAAAAACCATCATATTTTTTAGCATAAAAAGAATTAACGCACAGTCGAACAAACCATCACGCGAGCTAAGGAACGAGCATATACTGCATGAAGACTTCTCTAATCAAGATTGAGCATGTCGCGTGCCACTTTTAAAATGATAAACAAATATTACCTTACTTTGACAAGAGATTACAGGGTAGTCGGAGCCGGAGGGGCCAAGGGCCTTAGCCCCCACCCCCCTCCAATTTCAAACCAAAAATACATAAAATAATAATTTTAGAAATATCTCCAGACACCCTACAAGTCGCTTGTAAGCTCCACGCCTCAATTTCCTATGTGAGACACGCCTT